GCCGATAAGATCTAGCCCCACATGACGCAAACCGAACAATCGATGATGCAGGATTGCACACTTTAACATGTACCGTGTATTGAACAACTTTTTTTCGTGTGGCGCTAGTAGTTGGCGCAACGTGACTGTCAAATATTCGGGGTCATTCTGAAAAATAGTACGCCTCAGCAGGGTCATCCTGGGAAACCCGCGTTGTATCAAGTGTGAAGTGTACAGTTGGTCGAGAAGTGAAGAGCAGCGCAGAGCAGAAAACAATGGCGACTGGACTCTAGGTGACCCTAACCCACATGACCAAAAACCGAACGGCCATCGATGATGCAGGATGCACACTTCAACACAACTCACTACTTTTGGACCGATTATGGGCGGCCGACAGAACATAGGAAAAGAACTTTCAGTTGAATTATGTTGTAGTAAGCAATTCGGCACCACATATCACTCGATTTGTGGCACTCCTCTGTAGGCCGAAAGTTTTAGTCATGTTTTACCTTGATCTCTTCTCTATTTCTGCCGCTTGCTCCTATAACTATACATACTGCATTGCAATGCACTGTTTTAACTCAAGTTTCTATGTGCCTAACGTTTGAACTTCCACATATGTAAGCAAGCAAACGATGTGATGTCTTCACCGTGTAATGTATGGATAGATAAAGGGAGAGTTTGTTGCATGTTTGTACTCCTGCTTGTAGACGGACAATGGACGGGCTGTGACATGCATGATATTGTTTTTTTGGTTATGTTCTGGCTCAGCTGTCAAGTTGCAGACTTCATGAAGTAACCGACTCACTGGTCAAGCTAGCCACTTTTCCGCTCGTTGGCTGGCCCATCGAGACATTCTATGACCGACTGAGACGGAGATTTGACACCCATTTCCACTCAGTCAACCAATCAACCACTGAGATGGTGCTGAAGTCTCCGCGCCGTATAATTGGAGGTCCGCTGCACAAAGAATGGTTGATTGCTCTGTCCATTGCTATACAAAGAGTATCTCCAGTTTGGAAATCTTTCTTAACTTCTGACCCGCAGTGAGACTCAATTGATACTTCGCGAACGCGGTGCACGATCATCAGAGCAAGATCCGATGAGCGAATATAATCATGCAAACAAGAAAGATATCCACCAGAGCAGGGTAAACAGCATCGCAATATTGAGATCGAAAAAATGGTAGATCCATCATAGCAAGATAGTGCACCATTGAGCAGAGAATTGTTGAACGTATGATTGTTCTCAATGGCATAAATGTGTGAAGTATACAAGTAGGGAGATAACAGCAGAAATGAGTGCGGTAAAAAGGAGATCCGAGCCGTACACATAGCCTAAGCTAGGGTGCGAAAAATACAGTACTGTACAGGTACGGTACCTGTACCTGTATGTATGGTTCTTAGGATACATACACTAGCCGTCTACCACAGTGGCGACCGCACATTAGCCAATAGCCAACTATGATCGAAGTATACATGATTATATGAGATGCCATTAGGTAAGTTATCATTCAACTGATTTTGTCTCGAAACGAAGGATGTGTAACAACGCCGTATAGACGTTTTTCTGGCGCAATCGAAGATTAGGAGGCCTGAAGGGTAGCAGGCCGAAAGGGTAGAGGTCCAGAAGGGTAGTGGGAACTTTTTTGGACTCTTGAAGCTTTGGAAAATTTCCCGCAGCGCAGCACGAGTTCTGCGTAACAACACTGTGTATATTTCGATTTATTCTACGTATTTTACAAGTTTCGCCACTGTTTTGCCACTGTACTCTACATCGATGTACCCTACCTCTTCGCACCCTAGCCTAAGCCGAGTGATACCCCGTGCAGAATTGAGAATTCCAAGAAACTATTGTAAAACCAGAGAGCACAAGTGGGACAGGGTATCAATTGACAGTTTGCCTCGGTTTCGCAACTTCGTTTGCTTGAGACCGTATCATTGCTTATAATTCGAACACCCCTTCGATACTGTACCCGACATCGTGGTAGCTAGCAAGAGCAATTCAATCATCTCAGGTCTCGGCTTTGTACTAGCCAGCAAGACATGAGAATGTTCGATTCGGGGGACTAGGCCTGTTTGCCAGCAAGTCTCGGTAGTCATCTCCATAGAGGGAGTCTCATCATAGTGTTCCAATTGGTACACCAATGTTTTCCGTTGGCCAGACGGTCAACTTGGTTGCCAGTGGAAATACCATGTGTAAAGAAGGATGAGGCAGGTTATAGGCTGGCAGTGAAAGATTGAAGAAGCAGCGTGAAGAAGTAGCCCGTGAGAGAAACCGGTGATGAGTAGATGAAGCAGCGTGCAAGCAGTCAGTGATGAAGACTCGATGAACCAGTTCTTTAAACTCGTTTTCAGAGATGAAGAGATGAAGCAGCGAGCTTTCATCGAGAAAACTAGAGCCACTAAAGCAACAAAGTTAGCCGGACAGTCATTATTGAGCGGGTGGTGTCAGAGTCGAGATCATTTTATTCTGATGTGCGCATTAGAGTAGAGAGATTATTGTCAAGTGCTATAAGCTCAGTAGCGAGACTGGTACTGATAACGTGTCAAAGTTCCATGTAACGAGAGCTCGAGAAGCCTTAGTATTATCCAGTAATGTTTACAATTTAAGAGCAGTTTGCAGCAGAGTTGACAACCTATAACCATGATTTGTACCCGGCGCACTGACTGAGAAGGTCGCGAGATACACCCTCCGACAGTATCCGCTGTTCTAGTCAGCTGGCGGATAATACTGGTCCGCCAACCAACTGGTTGATCCAGGGATTCCAGTCACTCCACGGGTCAACTAGGTAGTCCACCGGTCAACCGGCCAGTCCGCGGTACCAGAATTATCCGCCGGCTGACTCGAACATCCTCCATACTTGGCGTTGAAGCCTCAGGCAATGTCACCGACTCACCCTGGGCAAAGCACCGGATCCCAAAGAATCTCGCATAGCAGGATTCGACGATAGTTCCACCATGCCGGCGGTTTATGCCTCGGGCGATGTACGTAACGAAAGAAGCAGCTTGGACGCTTTCAGTAATGAAGACTTGGAAATCTCTCGGCGAGGAAGAGATGAAGCAGCAAGCTTTCATCGGTGATAAACAGAGTACGCAGCCGTAGTAAAGGGACGAAGTAGGAAGCTCTGGGGAACGAAACGATGAAGCAAATAGTGACAGCGCTTGGTACATGGTAGAGACTGGATGAAGCCGCGAGCTGTCATGAGGCGCCCAAGTGAGAGCGGAATCTAAAGCAACAAAGTTAGCCAAAGTTTCAGCGGTGATTTTATCAACTTTGATGTGTGCATTTGAGTGGAGAGACAATTATCTGCTACTAACCCTAACCCTTCAATCACTTCTGGACCGATCGTAGGCGGACGGAACATAGTGAAAAGTGTCGGAGGGTTATTTAATAAATGAGAGCCTGTAAACTCATAGTATTAAGTGATGTGTACAAAATTACAAGCAGTTTGCAGCAGAGTCCAGAACCTATATATAGCCACCATCGTTACCCGGCCTGGTGGTCGCGAGATGCACCCTTCAACAAAAAGTGTTGACCGTTGATTGTGCTCAATGACATAAGTGTATGAAGCGTACGGGAAGAGAAGAGAAAGTCAGGAATGAGTGCCATACAGGAGGTCTGAGCCGCATGACATAAACCGAGTGATAGCGGGTGCAGAATTGAGAATCCAACAAAAAATAAGTTTCAATTGAATCATGTAACCAAGCAAACGATGTTGTGTCTTCACTGTATAGTACATAGTGAGATCAAGGGAGAGTTTGTTTCATGTTTATACTCCTGCTTGTAGACGGACAATGGACGGGCTATGCAATGCATGACATTGTTTGTTTGGTTACGTTCTGACCCATAGGCCAAGGGGATCCGTGGTCGGAAGTGGAAACTTGCTACAGAGGACATCCCCCGGCCGGAAGTTCAACAAAACCGTCCGTTTTGTACTATCACAATTATTTTACTTTCAATTAAAGCTAGAGTGATCCTGCGATTGCCGTGCTGGTTCGTTTACGGCAGGTCGCAGCCGCAGAAGTTTTCTCAACTTCAGTTTCGGAGATCCGGTCTACCCGTGCAACTTCGATCTGTGCGAGTCTCCAAAGAACAAACACGGGTTTCCGCAGTCATACTCATCTGAATGACAGTTCCGCGGCCTGGGGTTGGTGTATGAACAGCCTGAAAGAAGTGTTCCAGTCCAGGCGTGAAGGCATACACCCCATGGAGAGACTGAGCACTTCTTAGAGCGACGGCCGATTTGGTCGATCGACACGGAAAGACTGGTCAGGGTTTCAACGTTGAACCTTTTTAAAACAATTCAAATTCAAATCCGGTGCGAACTACGGCTTCTTGACTCTTCACTAGTGCTCCGGGGGTTCTCTACATCGTCATTTGGTATTGATTTCCCTTTGGTATTGGCTCACAGTAGTTGGATGGTGGCCGTGTACGTAACGAAGTTGTTGTTGCCTGTTCTGTTGAAGTGCGGGTGTACTCCTGCATGTGCGATCACTCGAAATCCAAGTATTTGTCAATCGCACTCTATACTAAGGCTTGACATACATTATCCTGTTGGTCGCACACTCTGTTCTCTTACTCTAAAAATACACACACACACAATAAGAAAAGACTTTATAGCAGTTCTTCTCCTCCTCCTGATAACTCTTGCACTCAAACAGTTTCCACCGCTGGACGGTCCAGTCATTGTTTAGTGGGCCTCCACGACTGAACAGATGGCTCACATATAGAAAAGACTTGCTCTCCATCATTGAACGGCCCCCGTGTGCAGTGATCGTGCGCTTCCACAGCCAAACTTCGAGCGGCCTCTCCGTAGATCACCCGGGTTATTCATGGAGCACACAGCCTCCACCACCCAACCAGTCCATTCACGAAACCCAGTTACTCCACGGAGGACGTCGCTCACTCCACGAACCGTCAGCTGCAATGCCGGACCGGAACACAGAATAGCACGAGTTCAACCACTCCTCCACAACGATCATTCCATACAAGATGTCCAGAAAGGAGTAAACATCGCTTCTTTGGTAGTATAGTGGTTAGTATACCCGCCTGTCAAAACACGAAGTCCCCCCCTTGATGGAGTGTCTTTGTGTGTACTGCACGCGGGTGACCGGGGTTCAATTCCCCGCCAGAGAGTCATCTTTTGCCCTCGCAACCCACACATGCACAGGTTGCCGTTTTGCCGTCGTATCGCAGTGGGTGAATGAACGCGTTGAGAGCTGGTCGACATGGTCGTCCCACTCAGCTATCTTTGCGCGACTCGCTGGTGTGTTTGCGCTCGGTGGGCTGTAGGGCCGTTACATGTCGCTGTAACTGTTGCACTTGAAGGTGCCCGCAGCACCAGTAATTTATGGCACACCCTGCGCAGGAATGTACTTCATGCAATTCACCTAGTAGGCCCGGCAGGGCGGGGTTGTCGAGTGGTGGGCGGGCGGGCATATCAATACCGCTGCGCGGCGTGCTATTCCATAAAAACCCGAAAATTTTAATTTACTTAGCCACGGGGCAACGATTGTTGTGGCAGTTCGTCGGGCTTTGTTGATGTCATATCTTTGACCTATTAGCATTTCCAGTAGGGCATGGCTGCCTACTATATGCAGTGTTGAAGAGGCCGGGTGTTGAAGATAGCACATCGGTACTGGTGATTAGGTCATTTCTGCTCTCATCTTTCTCTTATCCTTCTCTCACGCCCACTTCACCAAACCCCAGTACATCAGCCGTCAACAGTCCCGTTTTTCAGCGCGCAGCACCCACAATCGCCAAACAAAACACCAAAAATACCGTCCGACGGTCGACCACCAAACCCTTCCAAACTTTCCCCGTTGCCGAATTTCAGACGCATTTTAGCGTGACACGAATTTGCGGAGAAAAAGGCAAAACCCCTAACAAAATTGACTGAGCAACACGTCCGTCACGCTTAGTGATGTGCTTGAATACGCGGAAAGGGATGGACAAGACCCTTTTCGCCAAGCAACATCAACAATCACTCGCTTATCTATTCCATGCAATTGTAAAGCGAAGTGAGGTGTTTGTGTCGAAGGGTGCATCTCGCGACCAGTGGGCCGGGTAACAATTATGGCTATAGCTTCCGGAGCTCTGCTGCAAGCAACTCTTCACTTGTACACTTCACTACACATTACTATGGTTTATCGAGCTCTCATTACTTAGACCTTTGACAGTTTGGCGTAGATTTTTCTCTCTGTGACCATTCAACTGACTCGATGGAAGAGAACTTCGATCTTACACAGCCGTCGAGTCGGACCTGGGAACTCTTGGAGTTGAAGGTATGAATGATCCTGTACACTTGTATGGCTAAGTGTTTTCGGATCGAAGTGAAAGAGAAGAGCAGGAATTATGGCGATGAAGAGACCCGAGCCCGCATGACCAAAACCAAATGGCAGGATTGCACACTTAACAAGAAAATCAAACGAATCACGCGCAAGAGAAACCCAGATGCCAACGACACAGTTGATCAAGGGCATTCCTAACATGAGCGCAGCCCGGTATGTTGATACAGCGAGTGCCTCTGCGGTGCGTTGCAGGGGCGGCTTTTATCTATATAATTGCTAGTTTTACTTGACCCCTCGGTCACTTGATCACTGGTCGACCAAATCATCAGGTTGTGTTCTTGATCCTCGGTTAAATAGTTGATCAAGTGAAACACTTGATGTGTCGGTCAGAATATATTTGACATTGCTGGTAGACAATGGCATCTGCTTTATGCCAGCCGCCCCAGCTGCATACCCACGCCCCCTCCGAGTGCAGTGCTATAAGCCCAGACGGCGTCGTGCGGTAGTGGGGGTTGTGGCAGTTTCTCACGTATCACCGGCGACCGGCGACACACCGTTGTAGTACCGCAAAACCTGCCCTCGGGGCCAGAAAAGAAGGGGTGAATTCCCTCACGCATCACAGATTATCACCAGTGATCACAACAGCCCACCCGTGAGTGCCCGGGCAGGCTAGTGCAGACCCACTTAAATGTGCCTAACCGGGCAAGTCTACTTAAGTGTGTCCAAGTGGCCTGCCCGGGCACTTTGAGTACTTAGATATTTAGCCGGGTGAGTGACTGTGACTCCTGAGTACCGTCGCCTGACAGACGTGCCCACCCCAAAGACGACTGTTGATGCACTCGTGTGCTTCACTTATGTCCGTACCGTCGCTGGAACCAACCGAAAACCATTGCGAGATGTAAGAGATTAAGAGGCAGATCTTCAATGGCGGTGAACGTGCGACAACAGAAAAGCAATTGAAAAGCCGTTCAGAACGCGGTCCCTGCAAGTTTTGCGTTGCAGCATCGTTGCAACGGCAAAACGCTGCTTTGTTTCTTGTTGATGCACTGGAAAAAATCAGGGCTACTGGAATGGGAGTACGGGTTTCCTAGTAGTGGAAGCAGGTATTTGTGTTCATCAGTAGCTTAAACAATTGTAGAAGTAATTTCAATCACCAAATATCACCTTGGGCACTGCCAATGAGCCGGGCCTATTATGAATGCGGGCCTAGATTGCTAGTAGACCTGCCCAAAGTGCCCAGACACTTGAGCACACGCAGCATGATATCTTTTATTTGCTTACACAATTGGAACGTCTTTTTGCCGCAGGCCGTGGAAGTTTACTTCACATCCCAGTGTGGTATAATTCTGTGACGGCTACATAATCTACTAAACACGGTGGCAGTGGTGATTACTCATCACCGGCATTTCCGACGGTGCGCGACGAGACGGTAACAAGGGTGGTTGTCACAGCAGGGCGTTTCACAGGCGCGAGACGGTAACGCAAGACATTCCCACCTCGAGCGCGTCAATACCGGCTACCTACACTCTAAAAAGCGTACACTACGTACACAGCCCCGAATACCTCAACAGCCCCAAAACCAGCTTCTCCAAAACCCCCCCCCCCCCCCCCCCCCAGTACCCCTCCATCCTAATCCACCCCTCCTACAAACCCACCGGCCCCTCGCCCCCCCGCACCCGGCGCAGCTTCTCCTCAAACTTCTCAAACTCCTCCACGGCCACCTCCTCCTCGCGGTCCAGCACCTGCGTCACCATCTTCACCTCATCAATATAATGCATCAACATGCTCTCAATCCCATTCTTCAGCGTGACGGCACTGCTATCACACGTCCTGCACGCGCCGCGCAGCTTCAGCTTCACCTCGCCCTTCGCCTCGTCAAACCCGCGGAACTCAATGTCGCCGCCGTCCTCCATGATCGCCGGCCGGATGCGCGTGTCCAGCAGCTCCTTGACCATCGCGACGACCTCGCTGTCGCCGTCCGCCGGCGCGGTGTCGGCGGCCATGCTGCTGCCGCCCTCGACCACGACCTGCCCGGTGGCGCCGTTCGCGAGCGCCTCGGTGATGAGTGAGAACACCTCCGGCTTCAGGAAGCCCCACTGCGCGTCGCCGGCCTTGGTGACGGTGATGAAGTCGGGGCCGTAGAAGACGGCGCGCACGCCGTCGACGGCGAACAGCTTGCGCGCGAGCGGCGAGCTGTGGGTCTCGCGGCCGTCGAGGAACTCGAGGCTGCTGTGGCCCGCGGGGAGGACCGGCGTGCCGGGGATGAACTTGAGCGCGTCCGGGTTCGGCGTGGATTCGGTCTGGATGAACATGGAGCGGCGTGGGATCAGCGAGGTGGGGTGCAGGCGGGGCGTGGGGAGGGGGCGCCGTGAGGTGAGGTGCAGCGTGGTGAGTGTGCGGCGCGGGAGGAGCGTGGGCCGCGCGAGGAGGAGGCGCGTGAGGGGGCGGAGGGAGGAGGCCATGGTGTTGTGTCGTGGGTGGTGGCGGTGGTGGTGATGGCGTTGGGGATGGAGACGGACGGACGGGCGCGAAGTGGCGGCTCAAATTCTCGTGCATGCCAAGCCATGACGTTATCATTGATTTGATTTGTCATCCCCCCTCATATCTCCGCTCCTGCCATTACCCCCCCATCTCTCCCATACCCGATCTCTCCCCCCGCATCACGCGCCCTCTGCGCCCCCCGCCTCCTCCGCCCCCCGCTCCAGCACACCCAGCACATACTCCGCCCACTCCTGCACCTCCCCATCTTTGCGCATCGCCCCCACCATGCGCGCGGCCTTCGCGTCCGCCTTGTCCGCCGTCATGCCGCGCGCGCGGTCCTGCGTGGCCTCGTGCACGCGCAGTAGGTCCTTTTTGAGCGTGGCGTTTTCGAGCAGCTTGTGGAGCGTGGGGTCGGAGAGGAGCGGGGCGAGGTTGGGCTGAGACGAGGTAGGGAGGGCAGAGTGAGGGGCGGGAGGAGGGGCGCCGGCGGTGTCGAGGAAGTACGCGGCTGCTGGGTCGTCGGTGGGCGCGTCGGCGGTGGAGTCGGCGGCGGCCGGCGCGTCGTCGATGTGCGTGAGTTTGTGCGGCTTGTAGCAGGCGAGCGAGCAGCTGTGTCTTCATCAGCGCAGTCCTATACATCCACAGGACAGGTAGGGGACGTACTACGCGATGCGACACGTCGGACATTTATACTTCGCGTCCTGCGCATTGCACAGCTCACAGAGCGCGGCCATCGTGCTGGGGTGTGTGGAGTTGTCGTGAAGAAGCAGTGGCGTGGGCGATGTGTGTCGTCTCGCGTGATGGTGCACTGTCGTCGTCGATGCTGTATTAGTTGCTTTATTCGTTGCGCTATTCGTAGATGTAGCTGTAGTCGTACTCGTGGTGGGGGTTGTAGAGGTGGGGTTAGGTTAAGGTTCCCAGGATCGCGCAAAAGACGTGTGAGGCGGGATTACGTAAGCCGCGCACCTTTCTCCGTACATATCATGTCATTGCGACGCCACGGCGCCCTGTACTGCTCCGCATGGACACCATTCAAATGCGGTAGTGAGTAAAACTCTCGCACACACTTGTTTTTACATACCTGATGGCGTGACGATTACTGCACCTAGTATCACTCGTAAAAAGCGATTTGTTTAGTCATGTAACGTTGGTGTTGCTTCTTCTTCGCTGTAACACTTAACACACAATACACAAGAATCGTCCTCCTGTGACTGCGTGCTCTTGCCATACATGCGAATACAATCCTGCTCTATCGAGTCGATAACTCCTCCCATCACTCGCTCGCTCGGACCTCCGACACTTCAACAATACCGAAGTATAGGCGTTGCTTTCTGCCTTCATCGCGCCTGGATGGTGGTAGCGAGT